AGTGACGGTGGTGATGGGGGTGTTGGTGGAGGTGGTGGTCGTAGTGATGGTGGTGATAGGGGTGTTCGTGTAGGTGGTGGTTGTAATGATGGTGGTGGAGGTGGTGGAGGTGGTGGTCGTAGTGACGGTGGCGATGGTGCTGTTGGGGGTGGTGATGGTGGAGGTGGCAGAGATGGTTGTGGTGGGTAAGTGCTTCCTTCTCTGAATCTATTCCTGTGACACGATGGAGGATAATGCAACATCCCAACCTCAACTTCCTCCACTTTTCCAGGGAAGCAGGACTTTGAGTGTGAGGATTGTGCTTAACAGAGTTCTCTTTCAGGTGGATGGAAAGTTCCATCTAGGAGTTTAAGTACTTCTCTGAAGGCTCAGGCCTGGGGCAGGCCATACTACAGAACTCAGGTGCAGGAGGATGGGGCAGGGAGAGCCTGGGCGCCCCAGGGCCGAGAGTGTGTGAGCGCCGTGAGGGCTGCAGTGGAGAGGATGGGTTGGGGCCTGAGACCACTTGGGGGTTAGGGGTCTGAGGACTGGAGGACTTGGGGGCTTGGGGGATTGAGGCATGAGGGCTTAGTGGGAAGTGCCTCTGGGGGGCTGGCTTGTGTCTTTGCTCCCCACTAGGAAGCAAACTAAGGTCAGAGACAGTGGCGTGCAGTTAATGTCTAACAACTGACCCTCTGAAAGAAAAACATTGAAAAAGCCCCGATTCATAGTGTTTGCTGATTTCCGTGGTGCAAATGCTCCTGTGATGGCTGATTTCTAGCTGCACATGTGGTGTCACTGAATGCAGAGTCGAGAAGAGCCGGGCAGTCATGCAGCTGTCTAGTATTTCCGTCTTGCAGGAACAAAAGATGTAAGTCACTTCAAGAACAGAGTAATAGTGAAATGTAGGACACGAAATGAGAAGTGATGATTTTTGAGTATTTATTACCTTGGCTTATAATGCAATGTATTTAATTGTAAGTTTATATAATTTAATTTTTAAATATGGCGGTATATAACCACTGGCTGGCACACTTCTTGGTCATTTCCAGTTGGTTCTCTCGCGGGATGCAAGCCGACTCCAGCACACCACCGAAAGCGTTTGCGCGGGGTTGGCCATCTGTGCGGTTGGAGGGCTGATGGATGTTGTTGGGTCTCTCTGTTCTCCTCAGGCGGATGTTCCCATTCTTGTCGTTTACTGTGGCGGGGCTGGAGCCCACCAGCCATTACCGGATGTTCGTGGACGTGGTCTTGGTGGACCAGCACCACTGGCGGTATCAGAGCGGCAAATGGGTGCAGTGTGGAAAGGCTGAGGGCAGCATGCCAGGTAGGAGCGCCCTGGGGAGTGGTGGGCACTCTTTTTCACCGAGGCTGGGCGCCCCCTGGTGGATCCAGGAGGAACCCCCAAGCCCTTGCCCCCTACACCTGAGATTTAATTCCCCATCCCACCCTTATCCCCTCCCACTTCTCACTCCCATTCTGTCTGTCCTCTTCTCTCTATTCTGTGTTAGCATGTCTTCTGCTCAGTCCCCTGCCCACATCCCCCCTTGCCCTGCCCCATCTGGTCCTCCCCTTGCAGCCTTTTTGACATCCCCCTCAGAACAGGCAAAGAAGTCCCACATAGCCGGGGGTCTGGTCCCCAAGGGGGCTGCGTGCCAAAGAAGTTAACTGTCCACAGGAAACCGCCTGTACGTCCACCCAGATTCCCCCAATACTGGAGCCCACTGGATGCGCCAGGAAGTTTCATTTGGGAAACTAAAGCTCACGAACAACAAAGGGGCCTCTAACAATGTGACCCAGGTGAGACTCCTTGCCACCCCCCACCCCTCCTGGCTGATTCTGTTCTGTAAGTCATTTTCTTCCTCTCTGGCTCGTTCTTTTCCACACGCCTGAGGGGGTGTGGAGATGAGTTGGGAGGAAGCTGAATCTCAGGGGCAGACATGGGCTCGCATTCAGGATGACATGGGCCAAGCCAGCCTGGGGGTTTCTTCACCGAACCCCAGGCTGCCATCACTTGTGCACCATGCTGGGCATAAAGTTGGTGCCAGTTGCCCCAGGGAATGGATGCAGAGTCTCTCTGAGTTGAGCAATACAGTTAACAGAGCCCCATCCCTGAAAAGCCCCGCTTGTGCTAATATCTTGGTTGCGATGCACATCTGGGGGGTAGGAAATGGGACAAGAGGGCAGAGCTGGTGCCCTGGAGAGGCTGGGGACCAGAGCTAGAGGGCCTGGGAAGTGGCATGGTAGCAGAGCAGGGCAATGGACATGATGACCTCAAGGCCCCTTCTAGCCTGGCCATTGGGCCAGCCACGGGTGGGGGTAGAGGACCCTTCGACCCCCACAAGCATCCGGCTCTCTCTTAGATGATCGTGCTCCAGTCTCTCCATAAGTACCAGCCTCGGCTGCACATCGTCGAGGTGAACGATGGGGAGCCAGAGGTGGCCGGCAACACTTCCAACACGCATATCTTCACCTTCCAAGAGACCCAGTTCATTGCCGTGACCGCCTACCAGAATGCGGAGGTGAGGGCCACTGGTCCCCCTGAGCTGCGAGGGGCACGAGGGGGAGAGTGGGGCCCACGGTCTTCCTCGGTGGGGAATTCGGAAGTTCCCTAGCCCTAGACTCAGGACTCAGGTGCCTCTATTTCCCCTCTCTCTAGATTACTCAGCTGAAAATTGACAATAACCCTTTTGCCAAAGGATTCCGGGAGAACTTTGAGTCGTAAGTGCCGCTGGGTTCAGCTCACCAAGGGCCCCCTCTTGGTATCTCCTGAGACTTACCATTGACTCCAGACATGTGCCGAGCATGTCTCCTCTCTGCCCCTGGGGGTGGGAAGAGGTGGGATGGAGGCTTGGAGGGCAGTAAGGCCAGGGAAAGAGGGTCCAGGGAGGGACGTACAACAGGCAGGCTCACAGATGACCAGTTCCGTTTGTGACCCCTGTGTTCTTGCCTTTTTTTTTTTTTTTTAGCATGTATGCATCTGTTGACACCAGCGTGCCCTCCCCGCCTGGACCCAACTGTCAATTGCTTGGGGGAGACCACTACTCTCCTCTCCTACCCAACCAGTATCCCGTTCCCAGCCGCTTCTACCCCGATCTTCCTGGGCAGGCCAAGGATGTGGCTTCCCAGCCTTATTGGTTGGGGGCCCCCCGGGACCACAGCTATGAGGCTGAGTTTCGAGCAGTCAGCATGAAGCCTGCGTTCCTGCCCTCCACCCCCGGACCCACCATGTCCTACTACCGAGGCCAGGACGTCCTGGCGCCTGGAGCAGGCTGGCCAATGGCCCCCCAGTACCCTCCCAAGATGGGCCCAGGCAGCTGGTTCCGCCCCATGCGGACTCTGCCCATGGAACCTGGTCCTGGAGCTTCAGAGGGACGGGGACCAGAGGACCAGGGCTCCCCTTCGGTGTGGACTGAGATCACCCCCATCCGGCCAGAGTCCAGTGACTCAGGACTGGGTGAAGGAGACTCTAAGAGGAGGCGTGTGTCCCCCTATCCTTCCAGTGGCGACAGTTCCTCCCCTGCTGGGGCCCCTTCTCCTTTTGATAAGGAAACTGAAGGCCAGTTTTATAGCTATTTTCCCAATTGAGCAGTTGACATGACAGAAACAGTGTCATCAGGTTGGAGAACACCAAGTAACGCAGACAGCCGACTCAGGACTGGGAGGCCCCGGCTCCCTCCGTCCCTTCTCCTTTTGTAGTTGGTTGAGGAAGAGGGGGGTCAAGAAGGCTTCTGGGGTTCACTTGGTGCTTTGGGCCCACAAGGAAACCTGAGAGGCGTGTCCCCTGCCCCTTCCTTTGCCCCAACTATGGCCATTTACCTGGTGCTGCTTCTGGCTGTGGCTCCCAGCTGGAGAACAGATGGAACAAGAAGGTCTTGGACACAAAGGAGCTTCCTCTCTTCTGTGGGGTGGGGTAGGGGTCAGGTGGGGCAGGCTGGGCACGGCAGACCCGGCTGTCTTCCTTTGTAGAATGTGCTTTCGGCAGTTCTGTTTGCGTGTGTGAAAATAAAGATACCATGGATTTGATGACAGCCAGCCAGCCAGCCGGGGTCGGCGAGAGGACTTGGATGACTTTGGGGCCCCACCCGCTCGGAGACAGTGGGGTCCCGAGGAAGGGGCTGGGAAAGGGGGGGTCGGTGCACACCTCAAGAAGCAACGTTTTGGGGTGGGGGTTGGTTGTGTGTGTGAGTGCGCGCTTTTCCCTTTTTTCTTTTTTTTGGAATGGGGAGGCTATTTATTGTTCAGAGAGTGGTGTCTGGATATATCTCTTTTGTCGTCATCGCTTTCTGAAAATAAACGTGAAACTGTAGAATGTGTCCTGCTTCAGTGCCCTGGAGAGGGACATGGATTGGGGACTCCAGTGGGAATTGTGAGGGCACCATCGCTCTCCAGCTGCAGCTGCAGCTCCCCAGAACTGGAGCCTCCTAGAAATCTGGAGTGGTTTCATTCAGGGCACAAAGGGAGTCAAAGCAAGGCCACCCGCCTTACCATTGGTGTTCAGGTTGACGGTTGATTCCACCTTGTAAGGCATCTTGGGACAGAGAACGGTCCCTCTGTCCATGTAGCACCTGACCTGTGGAGGAGGGGAGGGAGAGCAAGACCAGAGGGCTGGGCCGGGTGGGGGCCTGGGGGAACAGCCTTGATTTCTCTCGGCATGTCTAGCAGCTTTGGTTCTCCATCTTCATCTTAGGGGCGTTCAAAGGTTAAAGAAGTAAATGTAAATAGGATCCCATGAAATTGCTCTTTTTGACGGTCAAGAACAGCCAAATATTGGCAATTTCATATGATTCAAACTAGCATCTGCAAAGCGTTTAGAACAGTGCCTGGTAAACAGTAAGCTCTCAATCTGTACATTACTGTTGCTGTAATTCTCTAGCTTTGTTTTTTTCTCTCTCTTTACGCACATACTAAATTATGTTTGTAAAATGACATCTGCTTTTTTTAAGGAACGTAAGCAAGGCAGAAAAGTAAAAAGAGCAGTAAATTTCCCCAAATCTTGCCACCCATCCATAATTATCATTTAATGTTAAATGGGTTAAATAGACAGAAATATATTTTTATAACATTGGAATCATACGGTAAGTGCTTTTTATTTAAAAAAAAAGATTTTATTTCTAAGTCATCTCTACACCCAGTGTGGGGCTCAAACTCCCCACCCTGAAATCAAGAGTTGCACGCTCCACTGACTGAGCCAGCCAGGCGCTCCTGAAAATGCTTTTTCTTCATGAAAACTATTGAATTTTAGTTCACAGGATTTAATAATATAAAAATGAAAACCTCATCAAGCAAAGCGTCAGAAACCGAAAAACTCTCAAGTGAACAAAGAGATGGCAGACCTCGAGATAAGTTGGGTTTTTTTGTTTTCAATGATTAAGAGCTATTTCCTGAAAGAGCACTCTAAGGTTAAGAAAGGAGCTCCTTTCTTACAAGGGTGGAATTACGCCGTTTGCCTCACCCCAGTTCAGGGCATACCCCATTCTAATGAGGCAGGGGTGGTGTTCTCTCACTTCTGTTGGAGCTTGGAAAACTTCATTTCTGTCACAGTTCACATCGCCTCCTTTCTTGGTCTCTCTCCAGAGGCCATTTTCATCACTGTATGGTCAGAAGAAGGAAAAGATAGGAAGGCATAGTTGGTTCCATCCTCCATGGATTTGGATGCTCATAATTTTGTAAATGACATTAGGAGTTCCGTTATACTGAGCTCTGAGAGTGCAGATTATTCCTCCCCGGTCCCACCCCATTGGCGGTCACTCTCTGGAGTTATTAAGTATTCGTATTAAATTGGACCTTGGGAACTGTTGTTGTTGGTAATTACAGTACTCTTCTCCCCCATTGTTTTTATTTTTAATTTTTAAAGTTTATTTATTTACTTTTAGTAATCTCTACACCCAAACCCAACGTGGAGCTCGAACTCATGACCCTGAGATCAAGAGTTCCGTGCTCGTCTGACTGAGCCAGCCAGGTGCCCCATCCCCCACTGTTTTTAAATGGTTTTTGTTCGCTTCATTAGATATAAGTGAAGGGAGTTGTCTTTACACACTTTACTTTTTTTTTAAGATTTTATTTATTTATTTGAGAGAGAGAGAATGAGAGATAGAGAGCACGAGAGGGAAGAGGGTCAGAGGGAGAAGCAGACTCCCTGCTGAGCAGGGAGCCCGATGTGGGACTCGATCCCAGGACTCCAGGACCATGACCTGAGCCAAAAGCAGTCGCTTAACCAACTGAGCCACCCAGGTGCCCACACACTTTACTTTTTCCAGAAGTGTGGGGGCATATGTTTTGATGCTTTGTTATTTGACTCAGAAAGGTTCATTACTATTATTCGTTCACTATTAAATGTACCATTTACTGAAAAGGTAAAATACAAAATACTAAGGTATATCTTTATATTATCTTTCTATGCATGAACATGGGTATTTCTTCATTTATTTAGGTCATTCTTAAGGTCCTTCAGTAAAGTTTTACAATTTGTAGGGTTAGATCTTTTATATCTTTTATTATATTTATTCTTTTTTTTAAAGATTTATTTATTTATTTGAGAGAGCGAGAATGAGAGAGAGAGAGTACATGAGATGGGGGAGGGCCAGAGGGAGAAGCAGGCTCCCTGCCGAGCAGGGAGCCCGACATGGGACCTGATCCTGGGACTCTGGGATCATGACCTGAGCCGAAGGCAGCTGCTTAACCAACTGAGCCACCCAGGCGCCCTATTATATTTATTCTTAAGTATTAGGGTGTTTTTCTCTATAAAGGGTATCTTCTAAAAATGCGTGTTTTCTAAATTTTTTAAAAGTAATCTCTACACCCAACAGGGGGCTCAAATGCACCACCCTGAGATCAAGAGTCATATACTCTATTGACTGGGCCAGACAGGCACCCCTCTGATTGTTTATTACAACTGATTTTTGTATGCTGATCATAAGATGCAGCCACCTTGCTAAAACTATTATTATCTTTTAGTGATTTGTATAAATTCATCATTTTCTTTATGGCCGATCAGATTATTTCAAATAATGACAGTTTTATTTCTTCCTTTCTAATCAGTATGCTTCTAATTTCTTCTTCTTACTTTATTGCCCTGGCCAGAACTTAAGTGCTAGTTTCTTGCCTTTTGGTGGCTAATTCCCCCCCCCCCCCCATTTATTCCACTTTTCCCCTTATGTTGGTTTGGCATTTCTGTAATCTATTTCTATTATTTTAGTGGTGACTTCATACATCTTAATATGTACATTTAACCTAACAAAATCTTAATGTCGAATGATATTTTGCCCTGCCTTCTGGTCAATAAAACAATTTTGGATTAGCTCTTATTTTCCCTCTCCTGATTTACTATTGTTTTCTCTCTTAATTTACTGATTTTGAACATTTCAGTTCTCTCTTGATACATGTTTAAAGTAAACTCTATGCCCAGCGTGGGGCTCAAACTCACAACCCTGAGATCAACAGCTGAATGTTCTACTAACTGAGCCAGCCAGGCACTCCTTCAGTTCTTTTTTAGTCCCCACAGATTATACTCTTGTATTACTTTGTTGAGATAGTAGTTGCTTGGGTTTAACTTTATATCACCATTCTCTTTGTTCACTATTTTTTTGCATTTCTATCTTTTTTTTTTTCTGGGATCACTTTTCTACTTCTTAAACTAAATCCTTTATAACTTTTTAAAAATATTTTTTTAAAGATTTTTCATTTATTTATTGAGAGAGAGAGAGAGAGAGAGTGGTAGAGAGAGAGCACGAGAGGGAAGAAGGTCAGAGGGAGAGGCAGACTCCCCGCTGAGCAGGGAGCTCGACGCGGGACTCGATCCCGGGACTCCAGGATCATGACCTGAGCCGAAGGCAGTCGCTTAACCAACTGAGCCACCCAGGCGCCCCCTTTATAACTTTTTATAGAGATGATATCTTTGTAAGTTCCTCATAAGCTTGTTTCTTACAAAAATTATTATTTTTCCCCTCGTTATTGAATAGTATTTTGCTGAGTAAACAATTTTAAGTGGATAGTAATTTTTTCTTATTTTTTAGAAGCTATTCCACCATTTTCTGGCTTCTGTTGTTGTGAAATCTGCTACTCTAATTATCATTCTTTTGTAGGTTATCTGTCTTTTTCTTTCTGTTTTCCAGATCTTCTAGATATATTTGATGTGCAACAGATTCGCTAAGATGTGACAAGGTATGAATTTACTTTTCTTGATCATATTTGGGATACGTTTTACTTCCTGAATCTGTATATTCATGGTTTTCATTAATTCGGACATTTCCCAATCCTTATTTCTTTAAACATTACTTCTTTCCATTCTCTCCAATTTTACCCTTTGGGACTCCAATCAGATGGATGTCAGACATTCTCATTCTATTATTATTCATGTCTCACAACTCTCTTATGTTTTTTCTCCTTGTCTCTCTTTGCTGCATTCTGTATAAATTCTTGAGATATATCTTTTAGTTTAATTCTACTTTCAACAATATCTAATATGCTGATTAGCCCACTCATTGAAATTTCTTTTCACAGTTTACAAGGTATTTTTCATAATGTTTTGTACATCTCCATTAAGTTTTTTTTAATGTTGTGCTTTGCATTTCTTTCTTTTTTAAAAACTTTTTAAGATTTTATTTATTTGAGAGAGAGAGAGCTAGAGAGAGAACTAGAGAGAGCACAAGTGGGGTGAAGGGCAGAGGGAGAAGCAGGCTCCCCGCTGAGCAGGGAGCCCGGTGTGGGACTCGATCCTGGGACTCTAGAATCATGACCTGAGCCAAAGGCAGATGCTTAACCGACTGAGCCACCCAGGCGCCCTCTTTAAAATTTTATTATTTTTAAGTAATCTCTACACCCAACGTGGGGCTCAAACTCACAACCCTGAGACGAAGAGTTGCATGCTCTTCTGACTGAGCCAGCCAGGTGCCCCACGCTTTGCATTTCTATGAGTTCTATTTTTTTCCAAATTATATAATCCCGATGATTTCCCATTATATGTTTTTCCTTGTAACTGCATTCTTTATTTCTGTAAACATTCTACACACAACCATTCTATATTTGTATTTGACAATTCCAAATAATACTGGAGGCTGTTTGTGGAGGGTGTGGTAGGAGTGTTCTCTAAATATGTTGATTCTTCTGATTATCACTCATAGTGGATTTGCCTTCTTGCACACTTGGTGGTCTTTGTAAAGTTACATCTGATTTTTTTTTTAAAGATTTTATTTATTTATTTGACAGAGAGAGACACAACAAGAGAAGGAACGCAAGCAGGGGGAGTGGGAGAGGGAGACGCAGGCTTCCTGCCGAGCAGGGAGCCTGATGTGGGGCTCGATCCCAGGA